TTAGGTGTAACTCACACAAAGCACCCTGTTGTGCTTGGCAAACCTGGGTCTGGTTATTTAGCTCCCCATCTAGTGAGCTGTCATCATACCTGACACAAACACCTTCTGAGAGATACACACGTGTGTTTAAAATGTAGGGCTGCGAAATCTCAAATGTTAGAACTTGGCCAAATGCAGGAAAATGAACAAATAAAACTGAATAAGGCTTAAGCTGTTGGGTGGTAGTTCTTTTCCACTTGCATTGTTTTCTCTCTCCTTCCATCTTTAGTAATCTCACAGTCTCGTATTGTTTTGCTTTTCCCTTTTGTCTGTTTTCTCCCTCTAATCTGACCACCCCGTTCTCCTTCTAGTACCACATTTGCTCTCTCTCAGGCATTTCCATCCTAAGAAGATGGAGTCCCTTCCTTTTTCTGTATATTAAGTACTGTAGTTTAAGTAGTTTTCCACAATGTAAGGAAAATGCTCAAGTATTAATGCCCAATTTAAATATATTTCAGACCTGATCCAAAAATCGGTCAACATAAACATTGCTTGAATTCATTTGAAATGCGTGGTACAATGCCCTAATCACAGGCTGCCTGTGCTGCCACAGCTGGGGGAAATATGCTGCCCCTACACCCTCAATACCTATGGCCAGACTATCATTAGCAAAACAATCACCAGCATTAATTTTTCAGTGGTAGCATAGCTTTTAACAGTGACTTATCTCCTCCTCATCTCAGCACACAAGAGCTCAGTGCATCACTAAACTGAAGGGGGGGAGGGGGGAGGAAGAAGAGAAGAGCATTAAAAGAAGACTGGGATTTTCCTTGCTACTAAACCACTAAATAAAGACTTTTGGAACTTAACCCTAGTGAAGTTGTACAAGTGAAAATATAAGCTCTATAAACCAATCGCAGTCAGTTCAATATTCAGTTTATTCACCCACTTATCTAATATTTTTATATTAATTATAATAAACTTCTTTAGGCTAATTTCTTTTTATTGACCCTCTTTTGTACATATCTCCCATACCTAGGCCCCCACATTTACAGTTCTAAAAATTGGGGAGGGAGGAGAAACAAAAACTCCCCCAACAACCTGACTTCATGTTATTTGAACAAGAGCGCCACGTAGTGTCACAAAAGCTGCAGTGAGCAGGAAAGAGAGGACAAAACAACTTTGTCCACTTATGTATCCCTGATAGCTTCAAATCCTAAGAGGAAGAGGAAATATGGAGTAATTTTAAATACATTTTCTCCAGCTGGTACTTGTTGACAAGAACAAACGAGGTAGCAACAATGCAGGAAGTCACAGTGATTGGGAGGAAGAAATCTTTTCCTTAAAGTGCACTGTACAAGCTACCACTGCATATAATTTTAAATTAAAGTTCTGTTGAACAGTTTTCATAGTCAAGGAAATTGACAGTCTCCAGCACCTTTATAGCATCACTTGTGTGTATTTTCGCCACTCATTTTTCCTCTAAAGTAGATCAGGGTGAAACACTGCTTCAGCAATAGGAGTTTTGCATTAAGGAGCAAACTTTGGCCTTATTGACTTTATTGGGAACAAAATTTGGCCCAGGAGTGAGTTTACACTGCACCTCAGAATCCTTCGTTTCCTCTTTGGGAATATTGGAGGGTGACAGAACTTCAGCATAACAGATTACAGAAGAAATGACTTCTAACCAAAGCCCTGATCCTTAAACCCTAACTCATGGGAGCAGTTCTGTTAACATCAATCACACAATGTAAGTGGAGCCAGAATATGGCTTTAAAGCAGAAATGCATTACCAGAATGAAACTATTCATGTGATTAATTACATCTTGTGTCACAAAGAGTTGGAAGTAAGGGGTCCTGCTCACCTTCTCATTGGAGTAGTCCCACTGAAATCAATCGGATTTCACACAGGAGTAAGGAAGCAGGATTTGATGCTGGTAGTAAAGTAATATAGTACATTAAACATGAAATGACTTGCATGGAGGAAGTCAAAAATCGGTATGCCTAATTCTACGCTCCCTTACACAGGCAAAATTCCTCTGGATTTCATCTGGGAGTTTTGATTGTGTCATGATCAAATCAGTCCCACAGAATTAGTTATCATTTTGACTGAATGTATTTTAATAGCAAGATATAGCCTTAGAAAGATACAGCCCAACAATAATTCACCCGCCTTTATTTAAAGCTAGATTACCAAACGATTGGAAAGGAATACTAGTAGCTCTCAATGGCTCTGGAAATAAACCTGCTGCCTGTGCCATCTGTTCTGCTGCTGCCATGGGATGGCCCATCAGTCATTAAACAGAGTTATAAAAGAGGAGAGGGGGGCAAGCTCCAGAAAACATACCTGAGCAGTGTTTTGTACTCCTATTTGTGCTGAGCCTGGTCCAACACCCATTGTCATTAATTCAAAAACTACTATCTTCACTGGGTGTTGGTCAGGCCCATTGTGCAGAGACTTTAAATAAGGAGCACCAAGCGATAAATGTTAGCAGAATGATCCAGTGATTTTTTTCCCCTCCTTTTGAGATGAGCAGGTTAGTCTCACTATCATCATCTGGAAAGGTGACATGAGCAGCAATCCCTGGAAACCCTTTTGGGGAAGGCCAGTAGTGCAAGAGATTAATAAAAAAAAGAAACAGACCTTTAAGGTTTAAAAGTTGAATAGGTTTTCTTTTGTAGGAAGGAATCTTACACAATATTTTTAATTTAGAAAATAAATTCATAACTGTACAAAAGTGATGTCCGAGAGAGAAAAGCAGCAGCAGTAGATCAAAGGGGAATTTTCTAAATAAAGCTATTCTCTTGCTTTTATTTTGAAGTGTCTTTATCCCATTAAAAAAAGACAAGAGAAACTTTAATTTCAAAGTACTTATATTAATGTTTTGGTTTTTTTAAAATCAAGACGGTGTTCACATTTCCATGACAGAATGGACAATGTTTGAGGTATCAGAGTACACAGCACATACAGCTATCAGTGTAAAAACCATGCAAAAGAACTCAACACTGATAATTAAACAAGAATAAAAACCTAGTGAAACATCTGGTTTGACAGCTCTCTCTTCTGTAAAGAAATACATTTGTACGCAGAGTCCCTAGTGACTTTAGATCTGCTCTGCTCATATGAAATCCCCATATTCCATTGCAATCAATTCCCATACTCATATCCCAGTATAGTTCCTGCCATTTCTTTCCTTCTGTATCCACACCTAGGGTTTTTGGTAAGTACTTCCTCTTTTTGCTTGGTGGGTTTTTGTTTTTTGTTAGCCCCACTCCCTCCTTTCTGCTGGTGGTGGTTCTTCTTTCTCATTCCTACACCCACTGGAAGGCTATCATTGCTGCCCGTGAGGTTACCAATCAACAGCTGGGGGCTGAAACACATGTTAAGATAGCTCTGGAGAAGCCAAGAAGAAAATAAGCTTGAACCAACAGCCTGAGGCCTCCACTGAGCTGCTCCTTTAACCAGCTACATTAGTGGGTACCAAATGGAAGGAGTACAGAGGGGTTATACAGGAAACAATCGGTAGCCACCACTTAATCCCCATCTGTGACAAATTCCACAGCTACATCATGCTTGCTAAGAGAGTGGTGGGTGGATAGGTCTGGTTTTATATACCTTTCTTCATCCCAAATCTCACCCCTCACAGCTAGTCAGGTATTCCCTGGTTGGCAAAATATTTTGTTATTAAACCTAGATCTTTAGGCTTTGAAACATCAGGAACTAGAATAAAGCATGAAAGGAAGCTGTTTAGGGTTCACAGGGGGTATTATTGCAGTTATACACTAGTAAAAAACACTGCTTATAGAATGCTTTGACTATATACTCGGCAGAGCTACTGCCACCCCTAGACAAACCCACAAAACAAAAACCAAACAATTTAAAACAAGAAGTGGAGAGGGTTGCTTTTATCTAGCCGATGTTGCTTATGGGAATCCCTTACTGCTTAAAGTGGGGAGAGGCACCCCCCCCACGCACAGTCTCTAGTATTCCCGTGCACATGAAGCAAAAGGTCATTTTCCTGTTGGAGGGACATGTTAATTCAAAAAGAGCTGTGGGAAAGCAGCTTCTATCAGGTTAACCAAGAGGTCAAGAAAACTCCTCCTTTCTAACAGTACCATGTTTAATCACAAAGTGATGGAACAGATATTTTGACTTAAGTGGCCAGAAGACACTATGACTATATAGACACATTGCGGAATAGTTTCGCTAAAAGTTTCTCATAATGAGTTTGCAGTGTGTCTTCTCTTTATAGTCTAAAGATTTTTAAAAAAAAAATTATGATTGATGCAAGTAATGACAAAGTTATAGGACTGAAGCTCAGCCCAGTTTGTGTGTTATATGGAACTGCTCCTAGAGCAGAAAGTGTAGGTTTGGCATTTAACTGCAGAGAAATATGCCAATTTAGTCTTTGATGCATCAACTAGTGTTTGTGACAATCATTCTGAGCACAGATTTTTGGAGTGCACAATACCAACATCACATACTTTAAATAAGAGCCATTTAGGCAATACATTATTCATTAAGCAACATGGTAAACTGAACTATATGACAAGCAGATTTAAGACTGGTCTATTCAGTATTCCAAATAATATACGTGTAGGTACAGAGAATGACGACAAAAGTTCAAAACAGGGATTTCCACCCATACCAACCAGTAGTTATAATCATACCCTCTCAGCCTACACAAAACAAACAAAAAAGTTAAGTTACTGGGTTAAAAGAGTTACTGCAGTCCTTACTCAGGAAAAGACTCCCATAAAAAAAATATATATATATCTCAAAAGTAGTTTGGGCCAGACTGCAGGATCAGTCTTTAGAATCTAAACATACATTCTCTCTGTTGATGATCATGATAGCACAGACAGATGAATTATCATCACACACAATTATTCTTCAAGTATAACTTCAGGAAGGTATTGAGGCAACACTGGTATCTGTAAGAATTCCTTGAGTGGTGCTTCACTCTTGATTTCACTGCAAATGCTCAACATCTAATGTCCTTGCCAGAAATTCATAGTTTTCATAGTTGGTGGATTGCTGCCAGGAAGGTAATAAGGAATGCTGTATTTCCACAGATGTAAATGGTTAACACAATCTCTTTAAATGTATGACCCTGTAAGAGAAAATACACATTTCACAATTACAGTGTTGGAAAGTATTTCACGGTATGTGCTTTTCTTTACAAGGTAGCAACTTGCCTCTGCCTCTGCCGATGTAAGCGACTGCAGAATTTGTATTCTATCCTCATCAATCACTTCAACTGTAAAACCAAAACAAACATATGGTTAGCCTTGTACTTGATAAGAAGAGATGCAATGTTTCACACATACTTCTTTCTGGCTAATGGTTGATTAATTCAATGGATGGCATGGTATTAAGCCTGATCAACAGGTGTCTCTACAGCCAGTTCAGAAACACCACTGAAAAAGCCTCATGCAATGCATCCTCTCATGGCCTATACTTCAGTGTTCACAGTTAAGTAGAAATAAGGATAGAAGGTTAATGAAAATTTGGAAGAGCTTGCCAGAAGCATAAAAGGACACTCTCAGTGTTTTGTCTTTTCAATGCTAAAGAGCAGTGGTTCTCAACCAGGGGTACGCAGGAGGTCTTCTAGGCCAGTGGTTCTCAAACTAGGGCTGCCGCTTGTTCAGGGAAAGCCCCTGGCGGGCCGGGCCAGTTTGTTTACCTGCCGCGTCCGCAGGTTCGGCCAATCGCAGCTCCCAGTGGCCGCGGTTCGCTGCTCCGGACCAATGGGAGCTGCAGGAAGCAGCGCGGGCCAAGGGACGTACTGGCCGCCGCTTCCCGCAGCCCCCCATTGGCCTGGAGCGGCAAACCGCGGCCACTGGGAGCTGCGATCGGCCGAACCTGCGGATGCGGCAGGTAAACAAACCGTCCCGTCCCGCCAGGGGCTTTCCCTGAACAAGTGGCAGCCCTAGTTTGAGAACCACTGTTCTAGGCAATACATCAACTCATCTAGACACTTGCCTAGGTTTTACAAGAGGCTATATAAAAAGCACCACGAAATGAGCATAAACAAACATTTCATACAGACTATGACTTCTTTATACTGCTCTATGTACTATATGCTGAAATGTAAGTACAATATTTATATTCCAGTTGATTTATTTTATAATTATATGGTAAAAATGAGAAAGTACACAATTTTCAGTAATAGTGTGTTGTGACACTTGTATTTTTATGTCTGATTTTGTAAGCAAGTAGTTAAGTGAGGTGAAACTTGGGGTATGCAAGACAAACAGACTCCTGAAAGGGGTACAGTCCTCTGGAAAGGTTGAGAGCCACTGCTAAAAAGGACAATTCTATTAGGATTTCTACAACGTCTCCTGGATTTCTCATGGTCAGCTGGAATTTAACTCCTCTTTCCTCCAAAAATCCTCTGTTCCCCCCCCCCCCGCCTCATTTTGAGCCATTTGATGCTGCTATCCTCTGGTTACTCAAGTCTGTAACCAGAGAGTCAACCAATTCTTCTCCCCTCATGTATAGGCAGCATCTAACTCCTCCCACTTCTCCACATAATAGCTAAATTGGTCTCTTCTCTTCATTCTATTTTATTAGTAAGTATCACCCTTCCTGTCTACTGTAACCAGGGGTGAAAGTAGGCCGGTACCGTGTATCGGTAAGAAGCTGGTACCGGCAGGGCTGCTGACTGGGGGCAGGGGGGCAAAAGGGGCAGCTGCCCCAGGGTCAGCGATTTAAAAAGGGCCTGGGGTTCCCAGCTGCCACCACCACGGCAGCAGCTGGAGCTCCAGGCCCTTTTAAATGGCTGCCGGAGCCCCGGGCAGCACAGGCCAGGCAGCACAGATGGGCTGGCTGGGGGCGGCTGACCCCTCCAGCCCTGCCCATTCTACCCGAGGCCCTGCCCCTTCCAGGTAAGAATTTAATATTATTTTCACCCCGACTGTAACAACCGTTCTCCATCCTTCTTGACAACTATGCAGTGGTTTATTTACTTGTGTGTGTAATCTTGACTCCTGGTGAGATACTGACCAAAGTGAAGATAAGAACTTGGGATGAAATCCTGGGCCTTACTGAAATTAACTTCAAAACTCTCAGACTTCAATGGGGCCAGAGGCCCTGTATTTAGCAGCTAATGAGTTACCCATTTTTGCTCAAATAGCGTTTGTGCTTAAGGTCCCCTGCTGTTGACCAGTCTGTTCATAGGTAGGCAGCCACAGCTAGTTACAGTAATGGTTTATCAGAGAGGATCTCAAACGACAGTACCTGCTTTCCCACCTAGTTTCAAAGGACTGAGTTCACTCCCACACTATGCTTGACTTTCCCCATACTATCACAATGGCTGTGTTGAGCTAGCAACACAAACAGAAGATTTTTGGTGTACATTTTAGAGATTCGCGTGACCCTCTGGCACTAAGTTTTGGGATTTCATGGCAAACAGGCCAATTCAAAAATGTACCAGCACTTATAGCCAGGAAAGTCTAACCAAAAAAGTGTCAAAACAATTCACTTATTGTTTTCAAGAGTGGTCACGAAATTTACATACAAGTAGTCATCCATGCATCTATTTCACATATCCAAAATCACCTAAATGAGCCGATATTTGCAAGCACAAAATTAGAGGCTGGTTTAAGCCTCTTAACTGAGTGAACTAAATTATCCAAGTTTTTGCATTTCACCTGGGAAGTCCTATTTTGCACTACCTGGCAAGCAAGGCAGTGACACTAGCCGTATTGTTTGGTTTGTACCTTTGCGAATGAGACAGTAGCTATGTATCTCCAGGAGAATATCAATACCGACATGCCAAGCTACAAATCCAATCATTGTGTAAGTGTCCCATGGGTCTGGAAGGTTGAGTGCTGGTAGGTCCATTCCCAGGAACATAGTTACCACTGTTGTTAAAACAAAGACATAGTTTAAAGACGTGAAAAGAAACGTTGAGAAGTATTGTCCTTAAGACAAAGTAACACAAGCTTATGGCTTAGTGGGTGAATGGTTATCAAGAGTTAAATATGCTTCTGGAGGCTTAAGAGTGAAAAAACACATCCAACTATCTCTAACTGTATGGCTCAGGATAACCATGATCCTTGTTATACATTGATCCTATGAAATAACCTCAGAGTCCAGAGCTACTTTACTATATAGATTGTAAACATGCTAATCTAAAAAGAGGTTTAAAAGGACAATGATGTGATACACAGCCACAATAGTAACAAATTCCTCCAAATAAATGGAGGACCACAACTCATTTGAACACTCTGGTGATTATATATAATTTAAAAAACAGAACAAAACAAATGGTTCCCCCCAAAACTACCAGATGAGGAGAGAGAGAGAGAGGTTCCTCATGCAGGAGATGGGCCACCAGAGTCCCTGAAGACAAGAAAGTCACATAAGGGGTCTCAGTACTCCATATTGATAGGTGGAGACTTAGGGAAAGAGGAGGAGCTTTGAATATACAAGCAAGCTTGTAAAAATTTGTCTGGTTGTTGCTTACCCTTGCTATTGTACAGGGTTAAGTCTGGTTTGTATAGCCCATACAGACAAAACCCTTATTCTAAGACCACTTTGGTGATTAACGAGATTGAAGTAGTCATCTACATTAAGATCCATATTTAAGTAACTAGTGTTCAACCACCACTCCATTTCTACAATACCAATATATCTCAAGATGCCTAAGCAAGTTACAAATGGGCTATAAACAAGGAGGTACACTAGATATGCCTATACAGGATTACAATTACTCACCAGCTAGTATTCTAGCTGTTGTGCCAGTACTCCAATGAACCCAGTTAAATACTTGCCTTCTACAAGAAGAAAAAATAATCAGTGTTATATCAAGTAATTTAGTTGCCAACATGGAATCTTCCAAAGGTTGGGGGGGAAAAAAAAAAAAAAGATCCTTAAACATGCCATGTTATCTTGAAAAAAATATAAAGTTTGTATCTGTATGAAACATGTTTAAAACTTGTTTTGTATACCATCAGTGTAATCTCCTGGAGAAGTACATTATGACATTTTAAGGAGTGTAAATATCCGTGTACCTTGGTGCATGAGGAGGTGGTCTGAAACCTGCCATCAGAGGTTGAAAGATTGCCAGAGCCATCACGGTACAGCCAAGGTATGGGTGAAAACCTGCCCACTGAACAAAGGATTTCTTTTTATTAATACTGTGACGTTCATACTAAACAATGGAAGCAACATTCAGATCAAAGAACAGGTCAGGAACAACTGTACACAATTGCAAAGCCTTATTTTAATACCATTTCTTTCAGGTGCATTCCAAGCCCCTATCCTCAGCTACTAGTGTTCCCATCTCACATACCTTTTGGTCTAAGTCTTGGCTATGAATAGAAGCACTTTTTCTCCTGGTGTACGTTTTTAAATTAATTTAAAACTGAATTGGTATTTATAGTGTAAAAGGCACTTGAGAAAAAACAGAACTAGTAGAACATGGGGACAAAACTAAGAGCAAAGGACAAACAGGAAAAGGAAAATTCAGACAGTGTTGGGATGAACTTGCTGTCAACTACCATCATCACACATAGAACAGTTTTAAGAGAAGTGCTTTGCATTCCATCATTTAAAATTAGGCTAGATAAAGCACTAGAAAATTATACCACACCGAAGAATCCTGTATTAGCTGGATGAGGGGAGGGGGAAGCAGCAGATTGATTCAGGACCTAATAGATCTTTTTCATCTCTAGTTTCTGTGGTGAAACTAGAAAAAAAAAAGTGGGCTCAAGGTGGGTAGAATAATTCCAAACAAGGTCTTTCACACACAGGGGGAAAGCCAGAAAAGGTGACTCACGTGCAATTTTTCAACTGAAAGAAGCAGTAAGTAGGAAAACAAGGTAAATGCCTGATTTGTACTTCTTTGTCTTCAGATCACCACTCAAGCACAGCAATGAGGTAACCGCTTTCATGGTAATTTCTTTGGAATTAAATAACTACTTATGTCATGGACATTAAAAAAAACCAGATCTACTGTTCATACTTCAAATGACATTTATCCGGGAAACAATACAGACTTCAAATCTCAGAGGCAGCCCAAAAAGGTTTTACTCACTTCACTCCAGCCTCCTCTGTATATAAAAGGAAGAACAAAAGCGATGCTCGTAAGAAGCACTGTGGTCAACATCAGCATACGATGTACCTATGAACATTTAAATAGGTTTAAAAAGAAGGAGTGGTGGTGTATTTTGGAGTGTATTTAGAGGAAACTGTTAGAGTTTGCATTACATTGGCAGGCAAGCAGAGATTACTAGTAAAGACAAAGTCCACTGTAAATAGGAGACAATACCTAACTGAACTCATTGTACTTCACAAGTCCAAATGAAAGTTATGACCAGTCGTGGCACCCCAGGTCAAGAAATAAAAGAAGATGTAGTTTAAGGAGCATGACAGTCTCTTGTGTTTTATTCTATTTATAATAAGATTAATACATACAGCTAAACTTTTATGTAGAGTTTTTTTGCCCACCTGGAACCAAATCTCCTTCCCAAACAACGAATGAGGCCAAACTGGTTTGAAGAATCTGGCAACAATAACACCAATACTAACTGTAGTCATCCATGCAACAAACATTAATGAAGCTGAAGGAGAAAATAGTCACATGTGAAAATTTGGTTATAACACTGAATATGAACACAATTGACCAAATATTGCAGGGGACAAGCTTCAAAATGTAACTTTAGAAGAACATAAGAGTAGAGGGTCAAATCCTTCTGGTACTTGGTTAAAAAATGCCTCACACATTGGTGTACTCTTGCTATGTTATGTATCTATTTTTGAGCGGAGACCAGTCAATAATAGGACTAATCTGTATGGATAGCACTGTAGAGAGATCGGTGCCAGGTCAGGGAAAGCACATGCACTAAGATATAGATTTCACTTCCAAACCAGAGGGCAGTCTATTGCTGCCTCCATGAGTTGGTTCACTGTGCAATAGCACAAGTCAAAACAGAGGCAGTAATGAGCAGCCTGTGCTTCATCTGCTGACCACAGGTTTTTTGGTGAGCAACTACACAGAGAATTTTTGAGTTAGATTTTAGTATCAAAAGTTTAACGGGTTAATTCAAAACAGGTCTTTCTTTGACAGAAAGTAGAATTTTCATTCAGCTCTTTATGGACCTGTTTCAAAACCAATTAATGTGAACGGAAAGACTCCCATTAACTTCAATGGGCTTTGGCTCAGGCTCCAAACCACCACCTAATGAGTGTCTCATGGTTAAGGCTGCGTGTCTGTCACGGAGGTCATGGAACTCATGGATTCCGTGACTTTCCGTGACCTCCATGACTTCTGCAGCTGAGCCAGGCAGTCCCTGGGCCAGCAGCAGTTTGGGTGTGTGGGAGGGAGCTCGGGCAGGGGTTTGGGGTACAGGGTGGCGCTTACCAGGGGGGGCTCCCTCTGGCATGTCCCTGCAGCTCCTAGGTGGAGGAGCCAAAGGGCTCCATGCGCTGCCCACACCCACAGGTGTGGTCTCCCCAGCTCCCATTGGCTGCGGTTCCCAGCCAATGGGAGCTGGTGCTTGTGGCGGGAGCAGCACATGGAGCCCCCCGGCCACCCCTCCCCCTAGGAGCTGCGAGGACATGCTGGTTGGAGCTAAGTAGGGAACCTGCCAGCCCCACCAACTCTCCCCCGCACAGAAGGGGTCCCAGGCCACACACCACACCTGCGGTGGTCTCAGACCACCACCATCCCCAGCACCACCAGCCCAAAGTTTTAGTTAAGGGTATATAGTAAAAGTCATGGACAGGTCACAGGCCATGAATTTTTGTTTACTGCCTGTGACCTGTCCATGAGTTTTACTAAAAATATCTGTGACTAAAATGTAGCCTTACTCATGGTACACATTTATTTTACATAGTATTGGAAAAAGGGAACTTCAAAATAGAGATGCAATTCTAAATTTAGACTGCCAAGTCATAAAAATAAGATGACAAAATTCCTTTAAAACAAGGGAGCTAGTAATATGCTTGACAAATGAGTAAAACAAGTTCCTCTCTCTGGATGAGTAGAATCCTGCAAAACCACGTTACAGTTTGTCAGGTTTTTTTAAAATTAAGAAAAAAAAGTTTCCCTACTTTTTCCCCTAGTTTTCCAAACCAGCTCTTATATCAGGAGAAGCAGATACCCCAGTGGACTGACACACCACAGGAAATAGCTTCTTTACAAAATTTTCATCCTTCTTTCTGCAATCAACAGTAGCTTCTTCAGCACTGGGCAAATCTAGTATTTGCTGTTAGAACTGTAACTTGCCATGGAGTTTAAGAAGAAGTGGAGAGCGGGATCCCCCTACATCCTTTGGAGAGTCTGTGACATTGTACATTCCATTGGTGATCAGAGGCTGACGATGATGTTTGTGAATTAGACCTCCTATGCAAAGATACAGAGTAGTTTATAGATAGTTAATGAAAGTTGCTGTGCTTGTATCCCTTCCCCTCCTATCCTTAGTTTACAATTCAGTGAGCACCATGTGTTGTAGGGGGATGGCGATTGTGTTTGTAAATTTCACCTCTGCAGATTCTGACTGGAATCTTTTGGATTAAACTCCACCCGCCCCCTCCCCCCAAGATTTTTTCAAAAAAATATAAACATGCATAATCTACCTAAAGAAAAGACATCACTCTCTATTAGATCTATAGGGTTTTGAAGAACATCTTGTATACAATGCTATTTAGTTTCCATTTTAGTTTAATCCCTATTAAAAATTGTATAGGATTCTCTCTCAAGAATACTACTCCAAGCACCAGATGGTATGGAACACATTTATATTAAGAGCAAACCAGATTTTTGTTACATTTCCAGAGATGAGCCAGAGCTCATCACATTAAGGTCATTTTCACTGGTTACATGTGAAATTTGAGACAGAAGTCAGATTACTTCTCATGTTTATTTTTAATACACCTTATAGGGGATAGTCCTTGTTTAGCATGGTTTGAGAAATGTGAATATTTAACCATATCTTCAATCAGACTTACCCTCACTTGCCTCCCCATCTGCCAGAAATATGTAATAATTAGCATCTAGATTAAACCTCCCTTTATAAGCAGGAAGACGAAGGTTTCTTCTGAAAGAGCACTGAACAAGTCCGTCAGCCACCCTCCATGAGATATCTTCAAGGCCATTCTATGAAACATACAATGAACATTTAATACTCGTTGTGTGGGGTCTTTCAAACTTGAAAACAAATTTACTCCACTCCTTCCTCAAGGCCAGTGATTTTGGCCTGGCTCTACTTGACCAATGTTGGACAATGAGCCAATGTTCACTGTCTCTTAATAGCCCATATCATAAAAAGAGTTAGCTGCACCAGCAAAGTCAGTGATGCCAGCAAGAATCTATGGCTAGGTCTACACTACCCGCCTGAATCGGCGGGTAGAAATCGACCTCTAGGGAATCGATTTATCGCGTCCCGTCAGGACACGACAATCGATCCTCGAATCGACGCTCTTACTCCACCAGCGAAGGTGGGAGTAAGAGCCATCGACGGGAAGCCGCGGAGGTCGATTTTGCCGCCGTCCTCACAGCGGGGTAAGTCGGCTGCGATACGTCGAATTCAGCTATGCTATTCGCGTAGCTGAATTTGCGTATCTTAAATCGACCCCCCCCTGTAGTGAAGACATAGTCTGAGAGTTCTCTTGGTGTGGTAGGCTTCTAGGCAACAGCTGCAGGGACATGCTTTCACACACTACATTTTAGGGCATGGTCTTCAAAATGGTGACTAACAAAGTTGTGTCTTACACGGGTGTATTTACAGAAAGCTATTTTAAAAAGACAATAGATGCACAGGAGCACTGTGAGGTTAAATTACTTGCTCAAGGTCACACAGAGGGCATAAGGGTAAAGACAGAGTGCTTCCCTGGATAACAGAATCAGGAAGTTTGCATTGTATTACCCGTTTGTCTGCCATCTCAGCATGACCTTGAGCAAGTCACTTCCCTGCTACCATTTTTACTCTCAGTTAACCGTTTGTAGAGTCACTGCAGGGCTCTCGAAAAATCACTTACACTGTGGAGTTCCATCAGCAATGGTAGGAGATTTTTAGAAAGTTTCCCTAGCATAGACCGGGCAATAACAGACAACTACCTCACAGGTTGTTCAAATAGAAGTAATAAAGAAGCCAGCAACAGATCTGGGTCTCGACATTTCTTATGCATCAGAAATAAGCACCTTCTATGTGAGGTGGGTCAGTGAGTCCAGAAAGGGAAAAATCCTGGGATCTTTATCATAAGATGGCTACTTATAGAACTACTGCCTTACTAGCTTCATTCAAAGCTATTGGATTTAAAAAAAAGACTACATCAGTGAAATATTGACAAATTAGAACCCAGCTGCATGCAAAGTGTCTTAACTGTCACACACCATACCTCTGAGTCCAACACAGGAGGAATTCGCCCACTAAGATAGGCCGTGTTTACATTAATACGGTGATCTTCATTAATACACAGATATGCATCATCGTCACCCTGAAAATAAAAGCATTTTCCCCCAATTTAGATAGTAATTATAGGCAAAGCTATATGCAGATGAATGGTTTAGTCCAAGCTCTCCTTTCCACCTGCACTATACCCGGAGTAACTTCATTGCCATTACAGCAAGTTTACAATGGTGCAACTAAACTGAGAGTATGGCCTGAAGTATTGTAAGAGTTGAAAGTTTGAACTTTCAAAATCAAATGGAAAAACTACTTTTTTGAATGACATTGGCTAGAAATATACAAGGTATTAAAAGTTATTTAATTGCACGCTATATGCCAATACCAATCTTTGCATTGTTAAGTTGAAGAAGATAATGTTATAGTTAAAAAGTTTACTCCAACAGAATACACCCTACACTGTAAGATATAGTGCTTGAAATGATAAAGGCTTACCACCAGGGGTCAATGGTACATGTACTTTTAAAAGTATTTATGCAGTGAGCACCAGGATAGTCTGTAAAATGGTTTGATCCTGGTATCTGACAGCCCATTGACAGTGTTTGGGGGATGCTAAAAGTGTTTTCATCTAGACCTTTTGAACATCAGTGCCAAAAAGGGCTGGGATTTTAATTGAAATGAATAACTTGTTTATAAATCTGACAAAGTGGGTATTCACCCATGAAAGCTTATGCTCCAATACATCTGTTAGTCAATAAGGTGCCACAGGACTCTGTCGCTTTTTACAGATCCAGACTAACACGGCTACCCCTCTGATACTTGTTTATAAATAAAATTACTCTATTGGGGATACTTTGTAGAAAAAGTATCCCCATCCACATTGCCAGAGTCACAAATACTTCTAGGAGTATTAATAAATACCTCTGATTATTTAAGCTAAGTAGATCAATTTACATTATCAAATTATGTGATTAAAACTGGAATTAACTGTTGAGGTCAAAGAAGAGAATGTTATTTCTTCCTATATTTGTAGAGTGAAGAACTACTTTTTCTTGTGACAATGGACACATAGAAATGCTTTAAGAATGTTAGTCTGTATATCTAACTTCCTTACTGAACAGAGTAGTGCATAATAGTCTTGCACATTGTAACTCTCTTCAGCCATAAGAATCTCCAAAGGGCTTTCGGGAATGACTGCATCCACCCCTGAACTGCATACTTATTTTGGACAGAAACCATAGTGCACATACAGAGCACCTTACAGAGATTCCTTTTAGGATAGGCAGTGGAGACCACCACCTCTAACTGCAACTACCCAGGAATTTAGTTATGCCACAACGTAACTGTCTGGAATTTGACCAAGACAGAAGGCAAGTTCTCATTCTTTCAGAGAGTGCCAGAGGATCTTAAATGCAACTGTTTAGTCTGGGACTACATTTTTCTATCCATACCTGTAAGAGGCCACCTCCATCCAGCAGTGCTCTCGAGCACCACATGGGAGTAATTATTAGTGGGGGAAGTCCCACTATCACCTTTTCAGTTTCTCGTGAAGGGTTCTCATCTGACTACTACTCAGGCTCAGGTCTATTTAATTTATAAAATCTGATGGACATGCAGCTGAGAATGGTGGGGCTACACAGTCTTCATCCTCAATTTCTTGACTAAGAATAAATTATGTATTTTGTTGTGCTACTTGGATGGCATAGGAAATACTGTAAAAGGGATACTCACCATCCACTGGTCATGAGATAATGCAAAGGCTATATATCCTTCACTAGGACCACTCATTTCAATAAGTACCGAGTGGTTATTTTGTTTGAAGGACAGAAAGAAACAATAGGCAGCCCCAGGATCACATTTTGGAGGATTCCTTATGCAGAACTTTGTACTTCCACAGCCGGAGGCATTAAACTGGACAGACAAGTAGAAAATTAAGTTAACAAACAAGCTGGTCATTCTCCACCCCACCCACAACTAAAATTACTATAATCCCAACTAATATAGAAGTGAAGATCTACACAGAAAATGCATAAAGAAACCCCTCTTCTTCTCCCCCACCCCACATAGCCAATAATTACTAACCAGGATTAGAATTCACTGTCATGGTAGTTATTAAATTGTGAGCTTTGAATTCACCAATCAGTTTAAATGAAAGAGTTCGACATCATAGTGGTAACAAGGCTATAATTTGGAAGTGTAATACAATCCCCTCCTGTTCAAGGACATTTCTTCTGTTTAATAAAATAAGTTATAATTAACTCAAGTAAAAAGTTTCTATATACTTTTCAGACTTCCTGGTGTCTCACTTTCCCTAGACTATTCCAAGTCATTAACAGCCCCATAGTGCTTAAAAATTATTAGAAAGATGCTCCTGTGGACTCTTACAAACCTGAAATAACACATTCTGGGGAGAGAAAAAAAGTGTCTATTTTTTCCTGAATGGTTGGTTAAAAACCCACCAAGAAAAGTTAAGCTGCACAAATGCCCAATACATAGCATGGGGGGGAGGGATAGTTCAGTGGTTTGAGCATTGGCCTGCTAGACCCAGGGTTGTGAGTTCAATCCTTGAGGGGGCCACGTAGGGATCTGGGGCAAAATCAGTACTTGGTCCTGTTAGTGAAGGCAGGGGCTGGACTCTATGACCTTTCAGGGTCCCTTCCAGCTCTATGAGATAGGTATATCTCCATATATTTAACTTTAGGAGTACTTTTAATACAACAAATTCAGAACAAGCATGTTCAAGATAGCAGTAAGTGGAAAAGATGTCATATTGCTAAACCTGGTCATGTTAAATGAGAATACTATTGCCCAACTTTAACTAGAACTTCAAGAACCGGTAATGGAAGTCCAAACAAAGACAAACCCATGTGAACAAGCAATTATAAATTAAGCCTACCCACTCGTATATAGAAATAATCTACTTTGTTCCTGCCCACCCACACCCTCATTTTATTAAACTTGAATTTTATTTATACAGAACCACAGGTCAGCATGGCTCTTTATACATAAAGCATGATATGACTCCCCAGATGAGCTTAGGTATTTGTCTTTTCACCTTCTTACTAAATGGTGCTTGAACTGAGTTTCCTTCTCCCACTCCTTTTCTCTCAACATCTCAATAGTTAATAATCTGATAGAGACACATGGTGGGTGAGGTAATATCTTGTATTGGACCAACTTCTGTTGGCGAGAAAGACAAGTTGAGACAAAGAGAGAGAATTGGTCCAATAAAAGATATTACCTCACCCACCTTGTGTCTCTAATATCCTGGGACTAACCTGGCTACAACAACACTGCATACAATAATCTGATAGGTCATTTCCCATCTTCCACCTTCTGTCAACACAGTGGCTAAGAAAGCCGTAACTGCAGCCCTACTTGGGAAAAACTCCTATTGAAGCCAGGCATAAGAACTGAATAAAGGTTGCAGAATTTAGTTCATAATAGAGAAATATACCCACTGATTTTGTTAGATGGAAAACTGGCTGTGAAGTTGGTAGAGTCTCTGGTGTAATACTTGTAGGTGTCGTCAAAGGTGGTGCATTAGGTTGGGAAATGACGGGACCAGGAATCTTCACCCAAAAGATTTTATATTTCTCTACAACTGTGGCTCTGAAGGGCAGGGAGGAAACCACACACAAATTCAGTACTGTGAGGGGTGTGCAAGTACTAAATGAATTACTAAATAATGCTTTACAAAAAAGGAGGGAGAAACTCCTTTATTTAGCTGGCCAAAAAGAAACATACTTGTCATATTGTGTCATACAACTAATCTCTCCAAACTTGGCATCTACACAGGCACCTGATGGGTTTTTTGGGGGATGAGGGAGAACCCTCCAGCCAGAAGGATCCACCACACAGCAGATCAAGCTTCAGAAATGGATTCAAGGCAGTCACTTCTCAGCTGCCTGCTGCATAACTTGCAGCATCACAGAAGGGTGGCATTTAATTTCTATTTCAAAACATATGAGTGTCACTGCTCATACCATACATTCTGGGTCCAAAATGTAAAGCCATATAACGGTAGAACACATGTGCAATTTTGGTTAGGAATTAAACTAAAATTTACACATCAAAAAAATATTTCTATCACTACATTTGTAAATCACCCCTTGCCAAGTAGTAGGCCATTGTCAGCCAGTAACATGCCTTGCAACTTCCCCACTTCAGAAGAGGAGAGAATGTTGATAATTTTCTTTTTTTTAAACCCTCCTTCAGGATTGTAATTTTATTTGGGAAATGCACAAAAAAGATCTTCTGCCTTGATATTCTCTTCCACAAGGTTCTGTATTAAGATTGCTTCTTGTTTTTATTGTCCTTCCAGATGCAGTAATTGAGCACAGAAGCCAAAAGTTGACCAAGCTAAATAAGAGGACATCAAACATGCTGCTTTCTTGTTGACATGGTACCAGGTGACGGTTGTAGCTGTTGCTGCACCACTAGTGAGTAGGAGATCAACCAACCCCCATCCTATTTTGTGAGCTCCAAACAATATAGGAGCCCATGCCCAGTTTAACGCCAGCTGCCCTGCATACAGCCCAAGTGGAACCATTGACTCTTCATTGAAACCTCCCAGCTCCTTCCACAGGCAGCAGAGCCAGTTCTTGAGCAGGAGTTGGTGTGGGCAGAAAAGGGAGGAAGCTAACAAACAGTTTCCCCCAGAGACATTTCCTGGGTGCTAATCAATATTTATGACAGATAGAACACTATATATTCACCTACTTTGGATGTCTAATAAAGGATCTCCAATATTGTGTTTACTTACAGAAATTGTACATGTTCTGGTGCATCTGTAGGAGCAATCCAATAAGCCTCTACATGGGTCTTTTTTGATTTACTTGTGTGACTGACAGCAGAATTCTGAAACAGATATATCCAGAATCAGAGAGAACCGGCACATAGGAGTCATATAGCAACACTCCTATAGTTATTCTACAAGGCAACACAATGGTGCACCAGAGATGCAGTTAAACTGAGTCCTGAACAAGCCCACAGACCCACCCCACCTTCCATTGATTTCAATGGAAAGCCTCCATACTAACTTTAGTGGGAAATCAGTTGGGTCCTATGAAAGGGAATCAGTTATAACCTGGCTGTGGCAATTATCAATGTCTGCAATATATGCTGTATGGAGTGCTGTGTGTTCTACTTAATATTAACACACTAAGAGGTATAGTCTACTTGCTGTGTGCAGAGCCAGTTGGCACTAACCATTTCACATTAGTGGAAGCTGGAGGCTTTGGCCGGAGCTAACTGCAGAGAGCCACACCTCCATCTGCAAGTCACTGCCCAACTGTGTTGAGCTGCCTGCCTAAACAGAACTAGAAGGGCTAAGAAGCTTAGGCCATGTCTACACTGGGGATTTTAGTTATTGGTGTAGCTACACCAATGCATCTTAGTTCCTGTTTGAAGCACATATCATACCTTTACAAGTCCACATGTCAGGAGCTGAGAAATCCTTTCTTCAGCTAGCATAAAAGAGCCAACTGCAGGGCCTGCCAAGTTCTCTGCATTCCGGGCTTGTATGAAAAATCCTTCAAAAACTGGACCAGATAAATTAACTAAAATAAGGAGGGGGGAAAAAGGTAAGAGGTTTCCAATGTAATCTGTAAAAGTGGAAGTAAACAAATATGCTTCCCCTGCCCCCTGAACCTCATGCCTTAGCAATGACCACTGTTTAACATTATTTTAGAGGTTAACTGTACTGACTTGGATGAACACTCATGAGCATCACCAGGACATTTCAACTTTCTCAGGATGGGGCTGTCTATGGTTCCTTGAACCAGGTAACCACAAGGAATCTACAGAAGGTGAGTGAGACAAGACAAAGCACTTTCTTTGACCACCATACTTTACCACAACTGCAATGCTGGACACAATACCTTTTATATGGTCCCCTGGTCTAAATTTGGTCTCATTCACTGATATAGTGTGCTCAGGTGATGGCTGTGGAGAATGTTCATGGCGAGGCATCATACTACTGCAGGCCTCTCTTACTTTTCCATTTGGATAACCAGCCGCAGGAACAGAAAGAAAGGCAAATATCCAAAGAGTGAAAGCCAGTACAGGAGGCTCCATCTGAATAAGTTAAAGTCACGCATTATTAACCAACACTGTAAATGCTATGTTGTTTATAGAGTAGGAAGACTAATGTTGTCTTTAGTAGACATGATTAAATTTAAAAAAAAAAATAGGTTTGCAAACATCTTAACAAGCAAAGGCACCAGGTTCAAGAATCATAGCAAACTGGAGTATCCAGACAATTGCCAGGCATTCATGAGATTGTTTATAGACACCAAGCATTTAACAAAATTTTAGTATGAATGATTATTTGTTCAAGAACTCCTGTGGTTGTGGCAGATCATCCAGTCACGTGGTACTGTTTGTCCTCTGACCAGATTTGTGTTGTGGACAGGCTACCATTTAAAGCAAGGTCTATGTTTATTTTCTCCTTTTAAAATAGCCCTTTCACAACTTTCAGAAGAGTTTTTTCTGCCTTCCTGCTGATATTTATGGGTCTTCTCAACTGTGGAGAGAAGATAGGACCATGAGCAATAGCCCCCAAACATGTGTGGGCTCATCCTTTGCTTCTTCTATATTCATATACTTGAAATGAGTATACTTGGCACTTATTACACGGTACAGGACACTCCTCACTTTCCTTTTCGATTTTCAAAATGCTTCACAAAACACTAACATTCTCACATATGTAAATATCATCCCTGTTTTACAGATGAGGAAACAGAGGGAGAGAGATTATGTGACATGATCAGGGCTGCAAAGAATCTGCATCCTGGGAGTATAACTCAGGAATTCCTGCTTTCCAGTCTCGTGCTCAGCCCATGCTACAATCTTCAGTTGCATTCTTCAGTCAGTCCTAGAAAAGCTAAGTCAGCCTCAAGCAGGGATTGGACTCAAAACCCTCCCTACATGGCATTACACCCTTTCTCATCTGACCACTCCAGTCAGATGAAGCCCACCAGTTACATGGGACATATGCAGTTTCAAAATCAACCTAATAAAATACAAATGCAAAGGATCATAGTATTGAGGAACAACAAAGCCTATGACAAGTCCAGATGTTTATTAATCAGAGTGACAAAGAAGTCCAAATCTACATCTTGCAGTACTGATGGTGAAGCAGTCACATAGTATATATTTATTCCTTTTTACATGACTAAAGATTCGCCAGTGACAAGATCTTCCCCAGTGATTACAATGGCCAAGTAGTGGAAAACATTTCTTTAAAAAGTCAGAAGAAACAAACTATTACTGTGACATCCTAAAAAATCAAGCTACTGTTTCAAAGTACAAAGTTCTCACTAGAACTAAACTCTGATCTTATGCTCTAGTAAAATATTTGTCTGTTTATTAGTTGGGGGGGGGGGGGGGAACCTGTATCTCTATTAGCTACAAACAGGTTTTCCCAAAGCACTCCCCCATGGAATTTGAACAGAGTAGTTCTGGACTTTTTTTCCACCTTTCATCATGAGAAACAAATATTGATGCAAAGAACCATGATCTATTAGGACTGAAGATCATGACGAAGGGCAATGTAGATCTGACAGCAGAGGTTTAAAAGAAGGAAAATTTACTTTGTTCTGCCATACTCCCCATTGTGGTAGAAAGAAAGGTAGGTCTGGGTTTTTAATGTTACATTTATGTACAGTCGGATCTTTGATGGGGTTGCTATTCTGCATGTTAAGCAGAACATTGTAAATAAAATTTTCAATTATTATGAGGAAATTGTTCAAAATAAGAATACATTTGATACTGATTTTGCCTCATCCTCGTGTTTCCTTGCATTATGGTACTGTTACATGAACATTATTTGTATACACAACAATACGTTCTGTACTTACAGGTATAAGGTAGACACAGGGCCGGCTCTAGGATTTTTACCGCCCAAGGCAAAAACAATTTTGGCCGCCCCCCCCCCCCCGTTTTTTAATTACCCCACCCCCGGCCCCGCCTCAACTCCGCCCCTTCCCTGCCTCCTCCCCACAGGCTCTCAAGCCTAGGAGGGAGGGGGAGAAGCGGCGGCCGCGCCACGGCCACTCGGAGTCTCCCCCTCCCTCCCAGGCTCTCAAACCTGGGAGGGAGGGCGAGTAGCGGCACGCGAGCGGCAGCGGAGGTGAGCTAGGGCGGCCGGGGCACATTTTTAGGGGCGGCATTCTGGCGCCGGCCATGCCGCCCCTAAAAATGTGCCGCCCCAAGCACCAGCTTGTTTTGCTGGTGCCTAGAGCCGGCCCTGGGTAGACATTTGATATTATGCACAATATTGTTCCAAGACAGATGCTGAGGGTGGCAGCATTATTTCAGGGTGTACTCATTAAATTGTATCTGGGGTTTTGACATGTACCTGGTGCATCTTTACCATATGATGACAAGAACTTGTTTCTATTATGGTCAAACAAAATGGTAAGAAAGACTCTTGAAATCTTCACCCTCACTGAGGCATCAAGGTTGAAAGCAGATTACCAGAGAGCAGAGTGCCCCCGTTCAACTGTGTAGGAGAGACATACCCAAGTCAGAAGTATACTAATGTGAGGTCCAAAGATCTGCTTTCTGGGGAAGTACAGTCTATTTTACACAAATAGATCAGAAAAACTGAGTTATGTGCTTAGGAAGCTTCCTATGGATGTAAAGATAACACAGGCACAGCACCATTTCTCAGATAAGATGAGCCCTGCCCTCTGATAAAAGAGAAACCAGAAAGGCTACAAGGCCAGAGTAACCATTAGAACAGGGGTTCTCAAACTTCATTGCACCGCGACCCCCTTCTGACAACAAGTTATTACATGACCCCAGGAGTGGGGACTGAAGCCTGAGCCCGGGGGGGGGGGGGTGGCCCAAAGACGAAGCCCAGGGCTGAAACCGAAGCCCAAGTACTACCACCCAGAGCGGAGGCCCCTGGGCTTTGACCCCAGGGGGTGAGACTTTGGCTTCAGCTCTAGGCCCTAGCAAGTCTAAGACCAGCCCTGGCGACCCCATTAAAACAGGGTCACAACCCACTTTGGGGTCCTGACCCACAGTTTGAGAACCGCTGCTCTAGAAGCATGTAATATTAGCTCTTTTCCCAGAGTGCTGGATGCAATTGTACAAAACAATGCAGGATTTGTGCTTCTACATACAGCAAACAGCTCTTATGTTCAGTAAATTTGAGAAAAATCCAGGTCTTCAGAATGATTATACTCCAGGGACTACTACTACTACTACAACAACCACCCTAAAAACAAAACCATTGTTTTCCCTAAGAATACTGAGACACAAGACAGGCTAGTATACAAACTCACTGTGTCATCGATTACTTCTAGAGAGCTGATTTCCAAGCTTATTGCAGATGACAAATTAAAATGAATTTGGTGAGCTCCTCCTAGTCCCCATTCGAGCACGTCTCAAAAATCCGTCACAATTCTCAATCACCACCAGAGTTCTGCGCTGGAGAGGCAGAGGAGCACATAGAGGATATAGTATGCAAGAACTAAGTTGCACTGGATTTTTGGTGTAAAGAAAGTTTGCATAGTCCTTGTTGAGATCACTGTATGATGGCTCAAGTCACTGCAACTTTTCCCCTCACTGGCATGAGCTCCTAGTAACAGAAGGTATAACAAGCTTCAACATGTTGACAGTTGCCAAGAGATAAGACTTGTATGTGATAAGGCGATAACAAAACAATGTTTAGGGTTCCAGTTTAAATGGTAGATGATGTGGTACAGATTTTTTTTAAGAGAAGCCAAGGTTATTCTTCTGCAAACTGAATTGGTAACAATGCTACTTTTTCCCATAAAGATAAAAATGGCTTTGCAGAGCGGAGAGAAGAGGGAGATGTGAAACAATTGTTATGCTGAACAGTAATTTAAAACGGGAGATGGGGTGGGGAGACATTTACACAGGAATAAGTGAGTTTCTGCTAGGTATCCCAATTTTTCTACTAACATTTATTTGTCCTCAAAAAACAAAAAACAAACACACACACACAAACAGCTAAGTTTCCTAAGAAAGTCCCTTACTTTCTTTGAGTTAAGATTCTTTAACAGCATAACATTTTTCTCAGGGTTCTTCTCCCAGTAACAGGAAGTTATTCTCTGAAACTCAGTTCCTTCTAGTACATGTATATACAGCAGTATTTTGATTATTTTGGAGATTCACTTGCTGTGGAATGTCAGAGAGAAGAGGAATTTGGCACTGAAGAGAAGACAATTTTTGTAAGAGGTGAGTCCAACCAAATACCTCAGATTCAAAGTTGCCCAAATTCTCTGAAAGTAGTTCAGCGTTTGAAACCCAATCCAAAGCAGAATGTCATGCCAGACACCATTCCACATACACCTCTACCCCCGATATAACGCGACCCGATATAACACAAATTCGGATAGAACGTGGTAAAGCAGCGCTCTGGGGGGGAGCGGGACTGCGCACTCCGGTGGAGCAAAAAAGCAAGTTCAATATAACACCATTTCACCTATAACACGGTAAGATTTTTTGGCTCCCTGAGGACAGCGTTATATTGGGGTAGAGGTGTAGTAGTAAACCTAAACACCTTGAAGTTTGGGAATTAAAGTGTAGAGCCAAAGATCAATCTCCCCTCCAATCTGTTGCATATCTTACCTTCCTTAAGGGACTAGAAAAACTAGACTAGGAGAGAATATCAAGGAGCTGACTTGCAATAAAGCCTCAGCATAGGTACATTTTGAGACTTGTGACTTGTTTGCCGTTAAGTCCATAGCAGTAATAACTGTGAGACAGAACACTTCACAGCCTTGTGAATATGACACCATTAACCACACATTAACTAAAAGCCATGAAGGAAAAATTGAATTGCTTGGAAAATTGAATATATATCATCAGTAGGTCAGAATGGTATGATATTCAGAGTTTTAAGGGAATTAGCTAATTAACTTACTGAACCAGTAATAATTGCTTCAGAAAAGTCACCATAAACAATGATGGAAGTACCATAAGATCTCAATAATTCAAATAATGTGTTGAAATCAAGAGTGGTAAGATAACAAACCTGGTAAATCTGTATCAATCTTTAGTAAAATTATGGAACATTTGTATTCACTCAATACAGCCAA